AGTACGTTCATATCACTTCTACAATGCGCTGCCTCCATTTTCTCCTCGAAAAGTGCATATTTTATTTCGTTTGCGACAGTAGTTGATCACTTTCATTTCGAATCAGATTTACAAACTGCTTTCGATGCAGGCAGTGCAGGTGATTCAACAGTCGACCAGCACACCCATGGGAGAACTTTGAGTTGCAGTCAGAGAGTCAGCCCACACTGTCCACAGGTTGTACCACAGACAGAGAGTCCATTCATTCAGCGAAAACTGTGTGTCATTTAGCAACTATTCAGGCATTGCCATATGCGATAATTACCTGCAACGTAAACAGAAAAATAGAAAGAAACGCAATGCGATCTCGATGTCGATATGAAACTGTTTTGTATGTACTACGTACATGTAAATATACATACATACATGCATACATATGTATATCATTGTCTTCCGCTTCTCAATTGCGCTGATACGTTGTTTACTGCAACTGGATTGCATAAGCTCCAGCTTTAGCTACAGATGGAATGCAATTCAATCAAGCCATACAAATCAATGGGATCGGATCGGATCGTATCAAATGGGATGCTAATGGATAATTCTATATTTGTACATATGTATATACTCGCATGTATGTACATATGTTCATATTGTATGTCTCAATTTGTTCTATCCGCCTGAAACTGGTAGCCACAACACAAGATTCGGGGCCCTTGACTTGTTTTGAAAGGCAGATAAGCGAGAGCCGTTCAAGCTCGGGTCAAGTGCCAAGGCAATCATCTACATTCTAAATAAACATATGTACATATGAGATAGGCCCCTCCACCATTCTTCACACCTCAAGTTTCTGTGGACGCTCAATCCAAGCTTAGTAGAGCCAGCGTAGCGCAGTATTTTTATAGCCTGTCAGAGGGTGACCATCCCATAATTGCTTAAGAAGTTTTCAACGCACAGAAGAACGCACTTTCGACTTCTTACGTTCAAAAACGTTTCTACAAATATGTCTACACAACCAAATAATAAAATCATAGAATTATAGAAGAAAATTGGATGGTTAGGTTCGAGAAACTGAGATTACTCCGGCTATTTTCTTTTAAGATAAACATACGCCATCGACTATATATGCTTCACTGTCATAAAACACGTAACGATCGGTCCCAAGACCCAAAGTGTTGCTGAGAATTGTTTAAAGATTTACGCAGAATGGTAGAAAATATGACAAAAATCGGAACATGTTTGTATTCGTACCGCAGTTCAGCTTTCAAACAAACGAACTGTCGCCAAGGGTATCAAGAACATCGTAGAACCACTGAGAATTCCATGCTACACATTCGTATTTCTATTTTTCCACGACTATAAACAATACACATATACACATACACAATATGCACATATTTATGGATGGCCACACATAATAAACAAATTCGGCAATGGAATATTTGCAAATGTTTATGCCAGATTGTGTAGCGTGATGGTTGGGGGGTAAAATCATTGGGTGGTCGGGCCGGTCCTGTGGTTGGTCCCCATGTCAAGTGGTTTGGAGTAGTAATTAGAATTGTTCCCCCAAACTCAACCTGATAAGCAGCACATATCGAACCGAATTGCGCAATTGCCCCAAAACTGAAGTGGGATTATGAAGAGGGTTAGTATAATATGAATAATGATGCTTAAGTACACCATGGGACGATCCTTATTGTTTGTTTGTTAATAGACTATATGTACATAGGTGGATTAGTTGAAGGGAAAATAATGTAAAGCTATAACTCACAATAAAGTGAGTTCTATGTATTATACACTTGAAAATTATTTTTAGAAAATTATCAATCCAATAAGAGAACAATTAAACAAATTCCTTCATTCAGATAACTACTCAACTGATAAGAATATTTTATTGGCTTTGCTGCCATTTTTCTAAGCATTCAAAATGAATGGACTATATACTATAGTTAATCCACAATAGTTTCATATTAATTGATAGAGTTTCGGTGCCTTTGAATGGCAACTACTTCTGGTACAATGGCACTCGGTACCTGGTACTTATAGTATGATTATCCCTATAATCGTATAGTTATTCTTAACGGAGGTGATTCATTCTGATTTTAGAAGAACTTCAAAAGAGGTAATGAAGTTAACAATGAAGATTATATACCCTATCACTGATTGCTAGCGGATTTTACTTGACTTTAATGGAACTGCATGAATACAAAAAAGGTTATAAAAATATTGAAACGAAACTTGTATAGAAATATTAGCTTTTAGTGAATTCTTATTAATTTTTAAACTCTATTTGGTATACTATGACCTTTAAAAGACTTAACCTTTTATTTTGTATTATTATTCTGTCAGTAGTTTAGCCCATTCGCTTAATAGAGCGATCAAGCGGATTGATTAAGTCAATTCACCCACCCAAATCAGTTTGATTTCAATACGAATCTGATAAATGAAAGCAAAAGTGATAGGTCCAGTGAAGCGATAATACAAGTACCTCTGCCTCCTAGACGGCGCCCACCCCGAAATTCCACCTGGGGATCGGTCATTGATAAGCCCACAAACGTACCCGGACGTGGGGGTACTACATACTACGTATACATATATACATACATATATATGAGTACATATTTATGTAGTATTTTTATACTTTTGGTGCCAGCGAGTAATTAATTCATGTTTTTCAATAACTTTTTTTTATACGTTAGTATCTCATTCTCTCTCTCTCTCTCTCACTCTCTCTTTTAGTCGTAGCCTGTTTCACTCTATCGCTGAGTGGGTAGTTATTTTTGGTATGGAATTAATAAGCCCCTCCACCTCATCCCAGACAATATAGTGAGGGAAGTAGGGGTTGCAGGCGTTATTGTTGCGATTGATTGGTCCGAACAAAAAATAAAAATAAAAGCATTCACTCAAGTGGTTTCTCCTGGGGGCTTTATCATATGGACTTTTGGGACTTGGCAGTGGGTGGGTATGGGTGGGGTTCGGTCGGTGGAGGCGTCGAATTATCGCTTGTATGACATAAATCCATCGATCGATTCTGGCGAACTTTCCCTATCGAAGGAATTTGGCTGCGCCTACGATAAGGCCATTTTTGAAGAGGGGACAGTGCAGAAAGTGGGAAACACGATCGGTTCGTAACGATAGCGGACGAGAGCCTAGATAACCTTGAAATTGATTTGACGCAAGGCCGCATATCATCATACTATCCATACGTATGTATATCCCCATTTTCTGTGACCGCACGTGCGTGTCACCCCACCAAGGGCCAAGGGGGGTGGCCTGACCGGCCCCACAATCGATATCCATAACCGTTAATGACTGGAATGTGTGGCTCTCCATTTAAAATACAGATGCAGAGGCAGAGGCAGAGGCAGAGGCGGAGAGAGAGATGGATAATCAATGGGAATTGTTTAAATATTTAAGCATATGTACATAACCCAGCAGGGCAAGCTTAAACACGCCCACCCACGCTCGGTCAGGTCAGCTTTTGCGGGGGTGTTGCATAGAAAAATACTGTAAAAGAGAGAGAGAGACAGAGGGAGAGGAGTGGTAAACTGTGTCAGTCTGCTTCCGCACACACACTCATGGACGAAAAACTGACACAGAGAATGGCAATACATGGTCTGAAAGAAATTCCCATACCCTGTCCGGGCCACCTTGCAAAATCCTCTCACTCTCGCAAAAAATAAAACGTGGGAGTGACGGCAAAAACGGGACCACTCCGGAGGGTGCTGTGACGTGGGCGAAGCTCCTCGTCTGATTACGATTGTGTAATCTAATGGTAGAGCGCACACCCAAAGAGCTTTCGAGAATAGGGCATACATACGAGTGCGATGGAGTAATCGTGGGTATCGTAACCAGCCGCAACGCCGGTGAACTTATCAAAGTCATGCGTATGAAATTGCTGTAAAAAGCTGCGTCTGGGCTGGCTGGGGTTCGTTTGGGTTTGAGCTTCTCCAGTTTGCTGGTTCCGTATTTGAGTCGGGCCATGAATGCCCTTGAGTTTGTCCTTTTTGAGCAGCGGATAGCGGCAGAGGCTGGCGCAGACGCCGCCACATTCACAGTGGTAGCAGCGACAACAGCTGTTATACGCTGCGCATGTTAACTGCTTTGGCTTTGCCGCCTGGTATAACAGTTTATCCAGCATGGCAGCAGTAGCAGCCGGAGAGAGAGAGAGAGATATATAAAGAGCGACGGTGACAAGCGTAGGAGGCTCGTCACCGGCGTGCGCATATCTCACCCAGCTACATCCAAATATATGTACATATGTATACATATATACGCGCGTGTAAGAGCTTGGAAGTATCGGGGTATGTGTGTATGTATGTGTGTGTGTAGGTTGCACGTGCTTCCATTGAGCGCTCCATGACCCCACCCACCACATGAACCAGTGGCCAGTTCGATTGATGATGCAAGCTCCTGCCTCAGTTACATTATTCTATTAATAGCCGTAAATTTCAGACGCATGCGCCTCGCCGTCCAGCGTGTCCTGTCAAAAGGTTAATTAAAGGTGAATCCACATGTCAGTCCATTACCGACCGTCGCCACAGGTTGCTGGCCAAAAATCTGTAAATATGTATGTAGTATATAGGTACAGTGTATACGTAATTACAAGCAAAGAAAGTTGTGTCCGTTGAGGGATTATGTTGACATGCATACAAATGGCAGTTTCATTAACAAGGCTGCCACTACGCTAAAACAAAGATTACAACATTTCGTCGAAATGCTGCCGTACTGGTGAAAAAAGATCAACCATTTTAGTATTTTGTATAGTATTTTATAGCAATTTTGGTAACATAACAGCAACATTCAAAGAAAAGATGGATTGAGAACGCAATTTGAAATAAACTTTAAATAATATAATGTGCTGTATACAAATATTATTTATAGTATTTCTAGTATTGCTTGTACTGCAACACACTGATCAGCAGTGGGACCGTATAGTCTGTGTACCAGGTTGGTATAAGTCGGGAAAATACCAAAACTATCGCCAGCCAGGGCCGCTATCGATAAAACACACTGCGCACAAGCAGGCCGAAGTTTCTCGTCGAATTGGAATTTCACTTAAAAGATTTGCTGGCACGTCAGACAAACAGACAAAACATAAACAGCAACAGTGACAGAAGTGAATTTTTCGCTAGAAGTATTTTATTAAATTTTAAATCAAACAACGCAACTAAATCAAAGAAAATGGTTCGCCGTGGACGTTCAGCCAGCCCCCCACCATCCGTTAGACGGTAAGTTGGTGAAGAAAATATATTGGACAAAGAAACGCAGCAACACGCAGTGTGCAGCGTTGGGGCATCCAATTGGCCAAGGGAAGAGGAAGCGGCATGAAATTGGCATTGGCTAGAACTTAGTTTCATAACCAGAGCCGATTCGGATCTTCTTCTTATCGCCAGTCGACTTCTGGAACTTCCCTTGGACCGAAATGGCTAAGGTTACGTAACCTAGAAAAAGAGAGGGCACAAAGAAAATAAGATGTTTCCGTGCAAAGTCCACACAAAACAATGAAACTAATTATGTTTTCTTTTTATATCCCAATAGGTCTGCTCCGGCACCCGCTCGTGCTGCCGCCCCAGTGCCGGCACGTGCTGCTGCTCCACCAGCGCCGCCAGCACCCATGGCCGCTCCACCTTCGGCCGTCGGCATGCCGGCGCCCCAGCAGCCCTCGATGTTCCAGCAAATGGCCGCCACCGCCGGCGGCGTTGCAGTTGGCTCTGCCATCGGCCACACCGTGGGCCACGGCCTCACATCCCTGTTCAGCGGCTCTGGCGACAAGGAAGCAGCGGCCCCAGCACCTGCTGCCGCAGCGCCCCAGCAACAGCAGCCGTACTTCGCTCAGCAGCCCAACGAACCTCAGGGTGCCTGCGCCTGGGAGATCAAACAGTTCATCCAGTGCGCCCAGGGCCAATCGGATCTGACGCTGTGCGAGGGATTCAATGAGGCGCTGAGGCAGTGCAAGACTCAGAATCATATGCAGTAGAGAAGCTGGAAGACAATACAACAACAAAAACATGCTTGAGAGAACACCCCCTCGTACACACCATCCCCGCCCCGTCACCAACTACATCTACAGACGGACGGACGGCGTAATATGTTGAGCTAAAGTTGTTTGTTGTTGGTTTTTTTTTCGTTAGTTTTAATTGTTTAACCCGAATGCAGAAAAGGATGAAAATTGTTTAAACCGTAGTGCAAAATATTGTTCAATAGAAACCCCCATTGGCAGCAGCCCCATCGCTGTCGATAAAAAAATACCAAAATTGTGTTTTCTTTGTTTTCTTCTGGATTATGAAAATCGTCTAATGAATGCTGCACATTTTGCACCCAATTGTGAAATGGATTGGGGGAAATTGACCAATAACGAAAAAATAGATTATGCCCCCCACCCATGAAAATGCTCTTCTTAAAATAGACTAATTTACTCATTTCCCCCGATTTCTCGTCACGTGCAATTGTGTTTTTATTTCGTAGAATCTTTCGTTTGTTTTGGTGAAAATTTGTGGGGAAGGGGAGCTTGCAACGCAAACAAAAGCGTTAATGGTAAACATGTTTACGTGCAAGCTAAGTGGAAAATATTTATATATTCTATATATGTATAGAGTGTGGAAGTATATAATGCATTGGTGCAGCAGGTGCTGTCTATTGCCTTTATAAGTGCTATGCAGGTTCTTATGTACATATGGACATTCAAATGTTGCTTGCTGTGATGTAGACTTCTGTTTCGTTTATTTATTTACGTGTGATTACCTCACTTTGGAAGCTACTTTCTATTTGTATTTGCATCGGATTATATGTAGGCATATGTAGGAACAATCAATGGAAAACCAAGTTATATGAGTACATATTACATAGCTGACACAGGAACGTTCGAAAGTGCGCTGCCGCTCACGTACACCTACATATATAACAGTGCTTGGCACCCCAATGCAGTTTTAAGTTTTGCCTGCTGTCTACGCACTGCAAAACATTTGAATGTGTGCGTGCCGATCACTGCTGCTGTGGAGGTATTAAAAGCTTTGTTTTCCAGAGCTACTTTAACGGCATGCACATGCATGCACATATTTGTACCGTTTGTCTTAAGATTTGCATACAAATTAAAGGTTTCACATATATATTCATTTATTTCTTATTTGTTTCTTAGTATATTAAATGACTAACGTTTTTGGCCCTGCCAAACAAGAGCCTAATTGGGTTGCAATTTACTCGTACATTCCTTATTTTAATCTGCAGTGATGTGAAAAACATTTACTTGGAGCTGGTGTACTTGGTGACGGCCTTGGTGCCCTCACTAACGGCATGCTTGGCCAGCTCTCCCGGCAGCAGTAGACGCACAGACGTTTGGATTTCGCGACTTGTGATGGTGCTCTTTTTGTTGTAGTGACCCAAACGCGATGCTTCGGAGGCAATGCGCTCGAATAAGTCATTGACCAAGCTGTTCATGACGCCCATCGCCCTCGATGACACCCCAGTGTCTGGATGGACTTGCTTCAGCACTTTGTAGATATAGATGGAATAGCTCTCCTTCCGGGCCTTGCGCCTCTTTTTGTTTTCGCCAGTGTTGATGCTCTTCTGTGCCTTTCCAGCCTTCTTGCTTGCGCTCCCAGCTCCAGCTCCAGCTCCAGTTTTCGGCGGCATTTTTTTCTTTCACATAAGTTTCACAATTTCAAAATTTACTCAACACTCGCACTACGTTTGCTGTGTGAGAAGTGAATTCAATGCGCTTAGGGTTATACTTTTTTTCGAGCAATCTATTCAGGTTTAATGCAAAGGGGAGGGACCTCGCCCTCCCCGGCTCCCATCCATCGGCTGCAGCAGCCTGGGCGTCCGCAACGAAGAGGAGTTGAAACACCAATAGGGAAAATATTTATTGAAAGAGTACTTCGGATCCCCAAGCTACTCGGAATAGATAAAGGATTGGAAATGTGCATAACTCTTTTTTATAGATTATTTAGTGGTGCTAAAAAGAACCGATGGCTTTATGGTTAGAAGTACATGGTTAGTACACGACCGAACTCTCTCTTGAACTCCATTCCATAGTATTGGTATTGGTATTTGTGTTTTTGTTTTTGTTTGGGAGTATTGGTGAGTGCCCAGCCGTAAGCTGACTTTGGGCATCGCTGCACTATATAATAGATCAGCAAATCGTCTGGCCACTTAATGTTTGTTCAGAAGTGTACGTGAATTGTGTTATGTGAAAAATGACCCGAACTAAGGCGACTGCTCGTTTCTCGAACTTTGGTGGGGCGACAAGCGACAAACCAACTTACAGGGCCGCGCGAAAAAGTGTTCCGCCCGACGTTAGATCATTTTGGGGTAAAGCAAATGCAAAATTCAACTTTAATTAAATTAAATTTAATTCTAGTTGCATTTCTTTTTGATTTTTGTCTGTTTCTGCAGCCGAAAATTTCGAGTCGCGGATGTCTGCTGCTCCGTCACCAACTGCTTCTACAAAGAACTCCCCAATTGCGCCATCACATCCCCCAACCCAGGAAATGGTGGACGCTTCGATTAAAAACTTAAATGGACGTGGTGGCTCTTCGTTTCTGGCGATCAAAAAGTATATTACGGCCGAATACAAATGCGATGCCCAGAAACTGGCTCCACTTATCAAGAAGTATTTGAAGGCGGCCGTTGCCAATGGAAAGCTGATCCAAGCAACGGGCACAGGTGCATCTGGCTCGTTCAAAATGTCCGCATCTGTGGAGAAGAAAGCGAAAGGTATGAAGTTGCCGTCACCCAAGACGTTGCCAAGCCCCAAAAAGGCAGCCAGAGTCGCTGACAAGAAGCCAAATGCCAAAATGTCAGACGCAGCCAAGAAGAAACGCAAGGCGCGGATGATGCAAATTCTCTAGCTGCAGCGGCGTCTGCCAAGTCCAAGAAGATAACAAAAAAAAAAACAGCTCCTCCCGCCACAACGTAAAGGAGAAGACGCCGAAAGCAAAGACGACCAAAGATGGCCAAGCCGCAGAATGTGAAAATGCACGAGAGATGGTCCGTAAATAAAATATTAGATGTGTAGCACATCTGGAAATGACTTAAGCCCTTCTCAGGGCTACTAAACTTTATCCGAAGAGATACAAAATTATTATTATTCAATTTAGTTCAATTATGTACATACAATGTACATATGTACATATGTATGTACGAGTAAGGGATACTAAAGATGAAATGGTTTAGTAATGGTCTGCAAACTGCAAAAGATAGTCCCCGTTTTGGGTGTCACCAATGGCTTTAATTAATCTGGAAACACGGAATTGAATTGTTTAACGAACTGGACGGCAGCATGGATTGGGTGTATAAGTGTGTAGATGTTTAAGTAGTTGAGTTCCACTCCATTTGCTTCCACTCCTTCCACTCACTCGCACCGCACGTCGTACGAGTCGCAGTGGCCACGGTCCGATTGGAGGGTGTAGAACAGGGCCAAACATACGCCTAAAATGACAAGGAAGACAACCAGCCAGTAGACGATACGCCAGAAGGGCCAATATGAGACCTTTGGCTCTCGTGACTGCACACTATCAACGCTGCGCTGCGTGTTTGGCGGTCGCCTGTATCTTATTCGGTTGCTCATTTTGCCAGAGTCTCAGAGCCTGAGTTCCAATATTTCTAGACAGAGCTTCTCCACCTGTCATCTGCTGTAGTTTGATTAGATTCCAGCCGCCAGCTCGATTGGGAATTGGTCTGGATTGGTCTGCTCTTAAATTTGTTTATTAACTAATTATTAATTGTTTACTAGCTACGAACAAAATAGAAAAAAAGGTTCCTCCTTTTTGGTGAAACTGTCAGCCATGTAAAACCCATAAAAAGAAGTACAATTGGGATGGGGATCGGTGGACAGACTACACAGAACTCGACATACAGGCGGCACTCGTACATTCGAGGAACTTAAATTAAATCTAGCTGGCGTCGCTGGCGCTTGGGACAATTCTCAGCATCGTTGTACTTCTGTTGTGGATGCTCCGATGATTCGCTGGTATAGCTGGTGTCGCTGCTGTGGCTGCGGCTGCGGCTGCTGCTGCTGCAGGCTTCCAGGCTGTGGCTGCGGCTGCTGCTGCAGGTTTCCAGGCTGCGTGCCGCATTGAGCTCCCTCAGGCGGCGGCGCTGCTCAGTCCGTTTGGCACAATTGGACAGGACGCGCTCTGCATTGCTGACAATCTCATCGAAGTCGAGCACCTCCTTGGGCGGTGCGGGCTCCGGCGCCGCGACAGGTGGTTCGGGTGAGCCCGGCTCGGGCTGCTGAAAATCGTAGTACCACGACGACTGGAAGCAGTGCTTCATGGTGTGGTCCCTGATGACAATGGCCTTGGGCAGTTGCGGCTCGCGGCGCAGCACAAACTGCAGCCGCTCCATGGCCAACAGCTGCGTTAGGCCGAGGAAGTCCGGCTCCCTTTCGAGGCAGCCAATGGCATGCAGGCAGATGGACTCCACCAGATCCTCCTGCTGGCTGAGCTGGACATATTCCAGCAGCCACTGGCAGTAGTCCTCGTGCTGATCGATGCGCGACGGCACCGCGGGCATCGACTGCATCGGAGGCAGCTTGGCCAGCTCCAGCAGCTGGACAATGCGGCAGCGCTGCTCCGGTTGCTCCCATCCGGGCTCAAAGTACTCCAGACGGCTAGTTGGCAGTAGCTCCAGATCAGACAAGCGCTCGACGAACGGACGCAGATCCTGGGGAAACTGAATACAATGCTGCAAATCCTCGCCGGCCACCACCTGCAGCCGACGCACTGCCTCATTGTACAATTCGACGCAGAACTGCGGCGACTCACGGCTCTTGCATCGTATGGTCTGGTCCGCGAATGCCGCATGTCTGAGGCGCCGGAACAGCTCCGGGCCCAGGTTGTTGACAAGGAATCCGCGCATCTCTGCCTGGCGGAGCAGACCGTCGCGGGTGCGTTGCGGCTGCTGGGCCAGGAACTTGAGCGCCGACTGCAGCACCGACATCAGCTGAGTGCGCTGCGACGCAGATTCTGCACGCAGGCAGAAGATCCGCCAGGATTGCAGCCCCAGCTGATCGAGCTGCAGCCACTGCGCCAGCTCCTCCTCGATTGGCGCCGTCGCGTGCTTCGGATACTGCAGGACCAGGGCCGCAAGGGCGCAACGACTCTCCTGGATGAGGGACCTGAGACGAGGGGGGATCTCCTGCAGGTTGGAGAAGCTGGCAAAGCAAACGATGCCATCGGCTTGGGCCCAGCTTGAGGGATCCTGGCCAGCTCGTGTCTTCAGCACACTGAGCGCCACGCCATGGCCCACGCCACGTATATAGCCGCCTGACTCCGGCCCTGCGTTCGGTTCGTCTGCTGTCAGCTGCAGCGGCTGTCGCTGCAGGAGTCCTCGGTCCAGGTTGTATTCAAACTTCAGTCCGTCCTCGCCCTCGGGTAGGGAGAGCAGCAGCTTGTAGTAGCGTCGCGCATCCGGCAGTTCCTGCGGCAGATACTGGCCCAGCACCTTCCAGAGATCCAGCTTCAGCGAGCCGCCGCGATCCCCCATGCCGGTCAGCAGCTGGTTGTAGTTGCAGGCCTCCCCCTGCCGATAGCGACGCATGAGACGCAGCGAGTCCTCCACGCATCGCTCGTTCACCAGTCGCTCGGGATTCTCGGCCCCAAAGCTGAGCGGCAGCTGGTTGAACAGCGTGTCCTTCTGCTGCTGCACGCGACGGAAGTCGCGCCATCGGCGCCAGTAGATGCGCATCAGACTCATCTCGTAGATGGACTTCTGGAGCTCGCGCTCCACCAGCGCACCGGTGATGCTGTCCACAGTCTGATCAAAGTATCGGTGGGCCCGCTGCTCCAGCATCAGCTGCCCGGCGCAGACACTGTGCAGCGTCTCCTCGAACAGTTGCTCGTACAGGCGGTGCGACTGGATCTCCAGTCGGCTCTTGCGCTGCTGCAGCTCCAAGTGTTGCTGCTCCCGACGCTGCCTGTCCTGCTGGTAGAGCGTCTCTTGCATTTGCTGCGCCTGCTGCTGCCTTCGCTGCTGCTCCGCCTCCTGCTCGTGCCGGCGACGCAGCAGCTCCGCCTCCTGCTCTTGCTCCCGCTGCTGGCGCACGCGCTCCGCTTCCGCAGCCTTGGCTGCCTGGAGGGCCATCAGTTCGGCCTCACGCTGCTTGGCCGCAGCTATAGCCTGCTGCAGAGCCATCATCCTGGCCTCCTCCTGAGCCCTCTGGGCGTGCTGTTGGCGCTGTTGTTCTGCCTGTGCCACAGCCGCTGCCTCCTGCATCTCCTGCATTTCCTGCGCCCTCGATTTGGGCAGTGAAAAGCTGAAGCCTCCCGCTGAAGCCGCCGCCGGCTGCATGGGCACCTTAAACAAGTTGCTGTCCCTCTGAGGTGGCAGGGATTCCTCCTCGGGCTCCTGGTTGGGCATCTGATCCTTGGCCGACCAGGCGCTCCTCTTTAGCATTTGGTGAGCATTGAAGCTGTCGTGCGGACGATGACTCCTGTAGAGGCTCTTTGGCGGCAGTGGCTCGCCGCAGATGCATTCGCCCACGCTCTGATATCGCTTCGACTCCACCAGCTGAAGCAAAAGCATAAGCAGAGGAATTAATGATCGAACTCGGGCACGTTAGCGTTAACTCACCTCCAGCTGTCGCTCGAGCTTGTATTCCACCTCTGGATTGTCCATTCTGGTGAGGACAACGCGACTGTCCTGGTTGATCTCCAGACCATAATGCTGGACAAAGTGGGCGGCCTCCTGCTGGCTCTCACAGGCCAGCATCTGAGTCACATAGGCGAGGGGCAGCGAGGAGACCTCGTTCTTGCGCGGCGCCCGATAGCCCTGGATGAGGCGGTGCAGGGCAAGGACGCGCAGGCGGGTGAAATACCGCACGAGAATGCAGGCGCTCAGATAGCTGGTCTCCGGATGCTTTAGCAGCTGGAAGAAGCGCACAAAATTGGTGTCCTGCAGCGACAGATAGAACTGGATGGCCTGCCGAATTTCCGGGCAGGTCTGCAGCTCGGCGGGCAGCTGGCCCACGTCCCACAGGAAGTTGGCATCCGCCAGATTCAGCAGGACAATGTAGCCCCGAAACTCGGCCTCCCTGGGGCACTGCACCCCCTTCAGCCGCAGGTCGTGGTACATGTACTTGAGCGTCTGCAGGCACTTGGTGAGATTGTCCGCATTGATTTTGCTGTCGAAGACGCTCGGATCCTCGGCCACCAGACGACCGGCACAGTGGATGTGGAAGCGGGCACACTGCTCCACCAGCTTGACGGCGCCCAGGGAGCAGAGCTCCTGCTGCGTGATCTCCTTGCGAATGGAGCGTGTGCGGTCCCACACAAAGTGGAACCAATCGCCCAGCGGCTCCCGGTTGATGTCCATGATCTCGTGCATGAGGTAGCTCATGGTCATGTGCAGCGCGGACTCGCCGCGCAGTTCGTGCGGCAGCGGCGTCTCCTGGTCGGCACTGCTGCGGGAATATTGCTTGAGGGCCAGCTCATGGCAGATGAGGCCACCGGGCTGACGCGACAGAGAGTCGGGCTGCATCTCAAACACGGACACCTGGCGCTGAAATTCGCGCAGCAAGCGCTCCTTCTCAGGGCACATGTCCGGGCAGTAGCCCTGCGTGCTGCCCGACCACTGCAGATCCAGCTGACGGTTTAGCTGCTGGTTCAGGCGCAGCAGTTTGTCCCGTGCATCGAGCACCCGATACTTTTCCTCGCTAGTGTGCGCCGGCCGACACATCACAGCCTCCAGCTCCTGTGCGTAGGCCTTGGAGTGTGCGGGCGGCGGCAGCGGCGGTCGCTCTCTACGTTCGCTGTGGGCCTGGGCCTGGGACTGGGATGGCTGGGATCTGTTGCCAGAATGCTCGGCAGCCAATTTGTTGGACTTGGACGGCTGGTACTCGTTTGGCCAGCCGCCGCTTAGGGCATTCAGTTCGGCCTGCACTTCGGGATCCACCCACTGCTCTGTCTTTTGGGCCGGGGCCGTCTCGTTCTCGGCATAGGTCATGTGGAACTCGTGGCCGTTGTAGACGTTGCCCTCGTGCAGTGCCAGCTCTGCCTCATCCTCGGTGGCGTAGCTGACGGTGCAGGTCATGCGACTCGGCCGGAGCACAAAATTTACCAAGTTTCCGAAGCGCCCGAAATGTGTGCGGGCCACGAATTTGTCCAGGAACAATTCGGGTATATCGGTGCATCTGTGGGATACATCAGTTTATCGGACTTACAAATGGACAAAAGGACTTGACTTACAGTATACTTTTATAGTTTAAGGCGCCTTCCATTGGATTTCTTTCGCTTTTTAATTTTTTACAATCACAAACAAAACACCGGCATTAGCGATGGCAGTTTAATAAGCGCGCAAATTAATTCATCAGCCTCTGTGGAACCTATTAATTAAGATTGATCAATATTTTATCTATGCCTTGCATACCTCATAGCTATACACATTTGACAGTTTACCTTTTCCAGCCGGATATTATTATAAAATAAAACCCCAAGAAACAGCTTTCAAAATTTGCTCATCCGTCAGACTATCGCATATCGAAAGGCTACAACGGTTAACCCATTGTCGACCAGTGGGATTTTCAATATCGTGCGTTTATTGCAAAGCAAATAAAAGGAAACTTGAAATTTTTAGAGAAGTTCAGGTAAAAAATATCGTGGTAAGAAAAATGTATAAGCCGCAATATTTTGCGCGGTTCAACTCAAGTTGTCCCACGTTCACCTGTTTAAATAGAGGGGGGCTAAGTGGATTAAACTCGTTTTTCCTCGGTATATGTACGGTATTTTTGAACGCTCGATATATTTATGATGCTTAGACGATATATGCTATCGACAAGCCGTGGTCACCAGTGCATTCGACAACAAAACAGGGAGGGTATGCATTTCGGGATATTTTGACGTCGAAATTGAGTTCAAGGTGTATTACCGGTATATTGGTATATATTAAATCGATTTCATCAATACATTTAATATAATTTTTAAAGCTGTAGTAAAGAACACAGGCTTTTTTTCAAAATAAGAGGATGTTACCGCCAAATCGTTTCAACTATCGTTATTCGAGCTCATACATAAACGCAAAAATGAGTCGCAAAGATTCATTGTTGCGTCATTCCATACGCGTTCCCGTAAGATGCATTTGATTTGTATGGTAAAAATTTCAGCAGCATGGGGAACTGAAGTAGCAGCATTGTTGTGCAACTTTGGCACGGAATGAGCAACAATCTGCATACCTTGGGAAAATGGATATTATGGACTTGAGATATTGTTTGTAATTTCAGGATCCAATTAATGCAAAAACTATTCAGTCTCTGTTCTAAAGATACTAACAAAGTTTTGCAGCTCACGGGTTCCAATAATAGGTATCAGAACCGGGATAAATGTATATATAAAACACAAAACATATGCATTAATAGGTGAAAAACATGATAATCTAGGATAAAATCATAAATAATGTTTCAATGGAGATTGGAACAAAACATTTAACATCAATTAAAAGAAATAAGGTATACAAAAGTACATACGCATAAAAGATACTTGGTTGACCAGCAACACTGACGTCAACATTTAAGTTTTATGCTTTGGCCGTTTTGGTTTGAACCTTATTACGTAAACAATCCAATGAAAAAGAGTTCTGGAAACAAGCCAATCCTGAACAAAATTCATTGAGGAATTGGATAAAATTATTTGCTCAAGGCTGAGAGGGCCAACTAGCTAGTAATATTAAACTGAATATCAAAATTGACGAATTTCATATCACAAAATATCACGGTATGGCAGCCCGCAGCAACTACGAATTGCACGAGTCTGGCAGCGCCACAAAACGACGACAAATTCGTTTTATGTTGTTTTTGTTTGAACCTTAATATGTAAATAATCCAATAAAAAGGACTTCTGAAAACTTGCCAATCTCTTAAAAAATGTATGTATCTATCGGATAAAATTATTTGTTTAGGGCTGAGAGTCCCAGCTAGCTGGTAATATTAAACGGAATATCAATATCGAGGAATATCAACGTCGAATGTTTTGAAAAAACAATCGATACTATCGTGATAGCTCTAATAATTATTAAATCACCATTGAAACCTTTTAGGAACTTGTCCATTTTAAAAATTAGATGCCACCTGTCGATTTGTTTACAAATTAGTCTTCGTATTTTATAGCAGCCAATCCAAACATATCAAAAGCGCAACGACTGTAGCTCGATAATATCAAGATAGTCGCAAAACCGTCGATAGTAGAGACTAGCAGTAAAATATCGATACTATCGATAGTGCCCTCGATGGTTTGACACCTCTAGATTCGACAACAAAATCTCGCAGCGCGATGTTTAACCACTGGCAGCTCGTCCGTTTTTGTTAATTTTTTTTTTAGTTTAAATAATACGTTAAGAAGGCAATAAGTGTGTAACCAACCGAACCCACTACGAAACACGACGACAGCAACAGCAACGCTGACAACGACAATGATCGAGCCGAATCGATGCGCCAAATCTTGGTAGTAGTTTGAGGCCAAAACTAAAACAACTAAAAGCCACGGCTAAAACAGCACAAAGGAGAACTGCAGCTCTGGCTGGGGCCGCGGCAATCGACTAAAAAAGCAGATTATTTATTGCAGATATATACGTATATTTGTGTATATAGTAGTTTTTTTTTTTTGCTGGTGTGACGCGCGTTTTGTTACGACGTTTCCGATGATCTTGGCCCGTTGTTGTTTGCCTTTCGTGTTGTTGTAACTCGTTTTGTGCGCGCGTGTGTGATTCATGCAACCCAACAACAACAAAAACAAAAACAACAACAACGACAAAAACAGTGAGATATGCTAAGTAAAGGAATGGCAAGGCAAAGAGAGTAGTAGAAGCCACAAAATACTTCTTTGACGCGTGCATCCTTCGATTGAGAGCGCAAGATAAAGCCATACACACACAAACACAGCACGATCGCACTCAGTGAGAGTGAGAGAGAAAGATATACAGAGGGACAGAGAGAGAGAGAGAACAGAGGTGTGTTGTAGTTGTACAGCTGTCAAGTGCGCCGAAGCAGCGGCAACGGCAGCGACGCTGACGTCCAAGTCCTTTTTCGTTCGACTAGCAGGCCATCTCGCTTGCACGCTAGATCACTCTTCTCCTCCGCTGCAGCTGCCTCTCTAACAACCGAAAACCGAAAAACCACGAACAAGAAGCAGAGAGAGAGAGAGAGAGAGAGGGAGGATGCCAACAACAAACTGCAGCAGCGGCAGCGGGAAGACAAGCATAAAGAAGAGAGCAGCATTCCATTGGAAAAAAAACGTGTGCATTATTATTAATATAATTAATAATTACTAAAACAACATCGAAATACATGTGCGTTCGTGTGAGTGAAATAGAAAGTGCATTAACAACAACAACAACAAAAACTGTAAAGTGTAAAAATACCAATACTACAGAAATACAAACGAAATGAAGGTTACCGTTTGCTTCGGCGATGTTCGCATTCTGGTGCCCTGCGGCTCTGGAGAACTTCTCGTCAGCGAACTGGTAAAGGAGGCAACGCGGCGCTACATCAAGGCAGCCGGAAAGGTAAGAAGGCCCCCCCCACCAACACCAACACTACCACCTCCCCCCCTGTACTCGACAGCGGAAACGCTGCACTTGAGAAAGAGAGTAATTACATAAAAAATATAACTCAAGTGAAGCCCGAAACGAAAGACCCGAAAGACACACAAAAAAAGGTTCTTCTTTTGGAAGGAAGGGGAGCCAGCCCCTCGGTTGGCTCTCTGCGGTGAGACAGAGACAAGAAACAATGATGAGAGAGCAACAAACAGTAAGAGTGACAGAAGAAGAGTGCATGACCATGTGTATGTGAGTGTGTAGGTAAAATATTTGAATAATGATAAGACAGTGAGCAAGAGAGGGTGAGGAGGGAGTAGATGGAGGGAGAGTGAGTGAGCCATAAAAACAAACACGGAAAAAAAAGGAATTTGAAAGAGATGATAACAACAACAAACAAATCGAAAAGAAAGAAAGAAAGAGACGAAGAAAAGAAGAGCCAAAATAAGCATGAGAATTATAATAATGTAAGAAAAAGGCAAGCAGCAATCAAAAGAACATTTTTGATATCTCTCTGAACCCATTTGAACCCCGCGTTACAACCACACAGTAACCGAGGTGTGTGGGTTGGAGCGAGGGAGGGGAGAGGGGGGAAAATAGAGCGCAGCGACAGGTAACCCGAAACAAACAAAAAACAGCATGATGGAAAGGGTGGGAGATGAGATGCACTGCTGCACTATGGGGCACAGATCGTAGATGTGGGAACCCTAATTAATGGGAAATTTGTGTGTTGGGGTTTCGGATCGGGGAGTAGATCCTACGAGTAATATAATTAATCAAAAAAGGTTTGGCTTTTCCAGGTAACTCGAAATTTGAAATCAATTTTCGAATGGGGCGTGGTGGGAGGGGAGGACTGGAGTGGAGTGGAGAGCGCCCAGTGGATATTTTTTATAATGATTTTGAGCTGTAGCTTTTCCTTTTGATTAAGTCATTATGTGGCTGGATATGTGCTCCAGTAGGGCTCCATTTCCGGTGCAACCTGTGTGAATTTTTTCCGTTTGGTTCGGTTGGCTTCCATTGTCTGATTGTCGGATTTTCGGATTGTCTGGCCGCAAAAGACGTGAAACTGTGTCAGCTGGGGCTGTGGCTGTGCAACTGAATGCAGCGAAAATGAAGAACGAGATGAGACTGAGACGCTTTCCATTTCGCGATCACGTGTGCGGCGTGGACGCAAACCCGGACAATTCCAGACCAAACCAAATAACGCCAAAACTCAAAAACACCAAAAACCCACACAAAATATCTACAACTTGCTAATTATGCAATTAAATGATACACCCCCCGTCTGAATAACGTTTTTGCAAACTCGACAAAAATCAAATGTCTTCCAGCTTTGCATTTTGGAATTCTCTTCACACCACATACGAGTAACACTCCCCCCGGTCTCTCCCGTATGTAAAGATATAAAGATTATAGTATTTCTACAATTCCTCTTTCGATTCCATTTTGCTGCAGCTGCTGTCCGATGTGAGAGCGAAGCTATATTTTCTGTTTTCTTTTTTATTTGTTTCCCATTCGTCATGGTTTTTTTTTGTTTTTTTTTTTATTTATTTGTTTTTGGTTTTTTGGTTTTTCTTATCTTTTTTTTCGAGCATGTGCCAGAGCAGAGCCCGTGGAAGAAGCAGAACCAGAAACAGAAACAGATTGAAACCTATTTGCAATTGCATATTCTAGAGACTAGATACAAGATATTACGAGTTTAGTTTCTTTATGTAGCATTGAAATATGCTGTACGAGTATTTGGCATGTGCTGCTGCTGCTGCTAGTGCCAAGTGCAGTCGTGGGATGTGCTTGGCTGGCATCTGTGGGATTGGGTTCGATTCCACCAGTATCTGTTGAATGCAGAAAGTGCTAATTAAATACAATTCAGTTTGATTCAAGCATAAATTTATTTTAAAATATTTCCAATTCTGCTCTTATTTAATTTAAATATGAAAGACTGAGACTAATTTAAAATATATAATTTGTAGGAAATGTAATTAAATCGAATATTTAATAAATTTTCACTCTCGGAGTAAATCTACATATTGAATGACCTTTTTCAAATCTATTTTCAGTATTTTTCTCTGGGTGCTTAACAAAATAATCTATTTGATTTGTATTTAAATTCTTCTCCTATAATTCCCCCTTTGGACAATTTGAGTCATCTCCGATCTTCCCCCCAGAGTTCCTTTGTTTGAGCGCAGCATCCAGTGGGCGTTTCGACGTTTCTTATCAGATAAAAATAAAAACAAAAAGCCATCGCTGCGCTGAGTCTGTTGTACCGGGGGCAGGGGGAGTGCTATAAACTGTCCGCGCACTTGCTAAAATCGTAATGAAAAAAACCGACTACACAGATGCCCTTTTACAGCTAAAAGCTAAAGGCAAGTTGCAAATCAAGACAGAAATCGGCGTACCCAAAAAGGGTACAGAAAAAAAGGCAAAGCTTAACAACAACAAAAAATTCATTGAGCATTTTTCTTGTCGCTGTTTCTGTTTCTGTGGGACTGCCGCTGAAATTCTTGGCATTAAGTGGCAACAGCAGCAGCCAGCAGCAGAAAACCAGTTTTTTAACAATTTGTAAATTTTTTGTTGTTGTAGTCATAACAAGAAATATCCACCAGCAATGCTCTCTCTCTCTCTCTTTCCCTGTCTCTCTTTGTCTCTGTCTCTTTCATAGATATATTTTTTGCACTTATAATTCGTAGATTTTTCTACTCTCCCGTCCCCGTTAATTGTTAGTGTATTTTGAGTGCGCTCTAATTGGTTTAAGCCAATAATTAGAATGAAAATATGGTAGCAGCTAGCACCTACAGCACCTCCTCCCATATGGAATGTGGGGTGGAGAGGGGCAGAGCACTGTTTGCGGTATGTGGAACGACAATAAGCAAAGGGGGAAGAGGTGGAGCGGGGTAAATAATCAATAAATCCAAGCAGCAAACACCTTGAGAAGTTTCTTTTTATGGCCAATGGAATTTCGCGTGGAATTCATTGTGTGTTTTGTGGTTTTTTAGGGGGTTCGAAGGTAGGAGAATGTGCTATGAAAAGTAACGATTTTCGGGAATTTGAGTGGATTGTTTTATATCTAAACTGCGGATAAATAACCAAACGAATCTACGAAGGAAGAAGCCCGCCCTGGTTCAGGGTTTCCTTCCATCATTCATTTTCTTATTTTCTCCAACGATGCAAAATATGTGAAAATATTTGAGAAGCAAAAGCAAAATCCATGGACAAATGAAAGCCAATTATGGAGGCACAGAAGAGAGGCACTGACCAAAAGAAGAAGAAGAAGAAGAATGGAAACCATGGAAGATATTTTACGACCTGCCTCACACACGAACCTCTATTTTATTCTATTCTTCCTTCTTCCTGCTATCTTCTTCTGCTGTTATCTAATCTCTCCCCCCCCCCCCACCACCACTCCTTCTCCAACCCTTCCTTCTTGAAGAAAGAAAGAAACAAAAATCAATTGCGTTTCAATGTTTTTCGCTTCACTAAAAATATAAAGTACAGTGCAGGGCATAGCTATAAAACTAGTTCAGGTGCTAATCCAGACAGTAAGTACAGGCAGTTCTCTCATGAGCAATGCCAAGCAAATGTTTGAATAAATGTAACCAATATTCCCCAGTTTAAAAATTCGAAAAACAAGCAATATTTTATACAACACAATTAATCTGTTTTTGAAGTGTCGCCTCACAATGCGCTGCTGACACGCAGCGTCAGGGGGGACCCCTCCTCCTCCTCCTTTGGCTACCTAGAGCCAACGCCAACCATCCCAGCCATCAGCCATCAGCCGTCAGGTAGCACTGTACTATATAGAACTGTGCACTGGTCTGGTGGCCCGCCCGTGTGTGTGCTGCGAGGGTTGACTGCAGCCTATACACTCGTAATAATAATAGTTTCTGTTTCTGTTTTGTCGGTTGTCATGACAGCAACCTGGATATATATATGAACATACGTACATACATGTAATGTCTGGCCCGAACGTGCATACATATGCACATGTACATATAGAACAAATATCAGTTGGCTGCGTCATTTTCTACTAGTATACATATATAGATACACACATGTCTATATGTACATTTAGCCACTAGATATTATTATTATTCTTATTATTATTGCAGTGCATTGTGGGCTTTGCTGATTCACTGTCTGGCTCTCTCTCTCTCTGCCTGTCTCTCTCTGTGTGGCAATCGAGATACCAAATTAGGAGCGAGAAATTCAATTGAATTACGAGAGTACTCTGATGTTTTTTTTTGTTTTTGTCTTTTTTTAGTTTCGTTTTTAACCTTCTCTCCATCTCCCCCCTTTTGTGTGTTCTTCTGGTAATTGAAAATAATTTCCACAGCGACACCCACTCGCACTTGCAATAATAATCAAAGAGACGCCCACATTTAATCTATCTATCGATTATAAGTTAAAAATGTCGCATGGTGGCGACTAAAAACAAATAAAATAAAACCTTATTGAATTGTGAAATTCTATGGAATGAATGAACAGAACAAAAAACTTCAGCGATGTTTTTACGGGAAGAAAAAAAAAACTCGGTTTGCCGTAACAGAACTGTGGAAGGATGTTCAAACATTCGATAAAATAGGATGATAACTATTCATTTGGATGTTTGAATAGTTGATAAATTCTTGTTTTGCTTATCGACTGCATTAAGTGTCCCTCTTTTTCCACTACTCTCCATTCTCTCCATTCTCTCGATCTATTATCTATTTTATTTCTGTTTCGTTTCATTTGATTTCTCTGTTGTCGAATTCGAATGAAAGGGACAAAAGCAGAAGGAGAAGAAGACAAAGGATGAAGATGGAATTCAGGTACGGGATTGGGGCATTATACAAATTTATTTGACTTCCATTTGCCTCGCACGATTTCACGATTTTTTGTGGGTTTTGAATTGGAATTGGGATGAGATTGCTGCTGTTCATGTTGTGTCTGTTGCAGGAGGGGCATGCATATGTATATTATTTTGTTCCCTTCTA